CATCGGCATACAGATGGTAGTGCGAAGTTAAAATTTTAGTGATGGCGTTTATAAAAACAGAAAATAACAGAGGAGATAATATGCCGCCTTGAGGAACGCCGGCACTCACCTCGCACCAATCAGATTGTAGCTGACCGATGCGTGTGGATTGCCGACGCCCTCGGAGATAAGAAGAAAACCATTCAACGGTAGAGTCTGACAAGTTAGCATGGGAAAGAAATGCAAGAAGGAGATCATGGTCTACTGCATTGAAAGCATTGCTAAAGTCGATTAGCACGAGCACTGTGAGTTGCTGGTTTTCCATGGCAATACGAATATCGTCCGTGACCTTTAACAATGCTGTTGTTGTGCTGTGACCTAGGCGAAAGCCCGATTGGAGTGGATTGAATAAGTCGCATTTATGAAGGTAGCAAGAGATTTGTTGGTGTGCAATGGACTCCAGGATTTTGGATAAAAAGGGGAGAATTGTTATAGGACGAAAATGAGAGGGTAGCGAAGGATTTGATATTTTAGGGAGTGGGAGAACAAAAGCCTTGCGCCACATCTCAGGAAATGTACTCGTGGTAAAGGAGAAGTTTACGATATGAGTTATGGGGGGAATTAGAAAGTTGAGGATAAGGGTAATCATAACTCGACTTATACCATCGCAACCAACCGCCTTAGATTTGATCGAAAGAATGGTTTTCTTAACATCATTTTCAGTAATAGGAGAAAATTGAAAGGATGGAGAAGTGATTCTAGGCAAGCCATGTATTTCAGAAAGCGTTGAAAGTTTAGTTTGCAAGTCGAGGACTGGAGGTGAAGAGAAGTGAAGATTGAGATTGTTTAAATCCAATTGAGATTGGTCAGAGTAAGGTTGAGACTTGCCGATACCGAGGGTATTTAAAAATTTTAAAGCTTCCTCGGGAGAAGATCCACGTATTTTGTCAAAGAAATATCGGCGTTTGAGCTTCCTACACAACTGATTGCAGCGATTCCTTGCAGCTTTATATGCTGACCAGTTGAGAGCAGAACGGTCCCTCTTATACTTACGAAAGGCTTTATCCCTCTTGGCTCTCGCTTTTCTTAAATCGTCGTTAAACCAAAGGTTTGAAGAATTTTTTATTTTAACAAGGCGTAGAGGCGAGTGTCGGTCGAATAATTCCATTAGTTTAGACCACAGAAAATGCAACTTTTCGTCAATTGACGACAACACCTCTATCTGCGTCCACGGAATAAGAGTAGCATCGTCCAATAACCTATCGAGATCCAGAGATCGGTAGCTTCGCAGCAGCAGCATCTTGGGTTTGGGCTTAGGTGATCTGAATTTAAAGGAAGCGAATATTAGATCGTGGTGAGAGAATTCCGGCGCTGATAACTGACCAAATTTAGAGACCAAGTCACCTTTAGACGTTATAATTAAGTCTAAGAGACTATCGGGACCATCGATCGGGTGGTGTGTTGCAGTGAGCGGTAAAACCTGAAGGTTAAAGGAGTCTAGTATAAATCTGAGCCTAGACGACCGATAATTACTCTTGATCAGACAGGTGTTGATATCCCCCATTACAATAAGATTAGTGTACTTAGGCATCAGATTCTCGAAGAAGGACTCAAGAGAAGAAAAATAATTGATATTGGGGGGACAATAGACCACTCCAAGGGCTATCTTGGTGCCCACATCTATCTCGATGAATAAATATTCAGAAGATGCGTTATACTGGGAAGTTGATTGACAAATAAGTTTGTAAGGGATGTGACTTTTTAAATATATTGCAACACCCCCACCAGTTTTTCCGATTCGATCATTCCTGATTAAGATGTAATTAGGTATAGAAAAAGAAGTAGAATGAAGAGAAGGTTTTAACCAGGACTCGGAAATAAGAACAGCGTGAATGGATGCCTGGTTAAATGTAGAATAGAGATCGGAAAAATGACTTGGAACACTTTGCGCATTGATGTGACAAATATTTAAATTCTTACGAAAATGTGAGAGTTCATTAGACAGCAAATCTCCTAGTAACTGAAAATTATCATCAGCACTTAGAAAAGAGATGTCGTCATCACCATCTCTTGCAGAATAAAATGATTCAAAGCTTGAATTCATAATGCATATACAAAATTATAATATACCAAATAAAATATATACTTATACAATAATATATTTATATATAACAATTTTTTAAATGTAATTATATGAAAACAAAGAAATTAAAAAAAACTAAAATAAATCAAGTAAATTGACTAGACTAACCATACACATTCTGTTGGCTCACAACAATTCACTTAAAATACGTAACTTATAAGAAATACTAAAATACATAAGAAAAAAAAATACAATGCATGTTAAGGTCTACAAACTATGTATCTAAGTGATTACAAAAAAGTTTGCTTGTCCCAAAAAAAAAACACAAAAGTTAAAAAGTATTAATAATAATAATAGTTGATTAATAATGATAAAAAGAAACATATGTGAAAAATAGTAATCATTTCGTATTAAAGGTAAAAGTAGATATTAAAAAGAAAAAAAAATCCGTCATGCACATAAAGGTTAATATACAATCGTTTACCACAAGGACATGACTTTATAAAAAAAAGTGATTTTATCCATTTAATTGTAGCTAACGAATACAGATTGAGAGACATGTATCTAATATAAAATAATAAAAAATGTAGAAAGAAACACTTCTAATAAAATTTGTTATCGATATCTATAGAGTGAGTGCGGCATATCTGGAATACATGTTGCAAGTTACGAATTATTCGACATTACATGCAGCGTCTCAAATATGCCGACCTTCCTCCATCCATTAGACTTGAGAAAAAAAAGTGTGCCAAAATACAATCATCCAAGTCACTAGCAATTGACAGTTGTCAACGACACTATAATAATTATAATAGACTTCAAAACTCGCCTCAGGTGTCAACTTGTCAAGTGTCAACAGTATGGAATTGATAAACAAATATACCCGGGATTAACATGCAACTTGGATAAAGTATAATAATATTGTAATTGCTACAAGGACACTAATAATTAAAAGAAAAGAAAATATAGAATCACAGTTACACACAAGAAATGACCATTGTGGAACGATATAAACATCATTGTGATGTTAAAAAAAACAGTTAAGTGTAAATGAACTGTAACTTAAGATAACCATTGTGTTGATTTTAAATAAATTTCACACATATTCATATTAAAAGCGAATAAAACGAACTGTCATCGAAAGAATAGAGGGACTTCAACATGTACTATGAGATGATTATAAATTAAGTGAAAGTATAACCAAAACAAGATATACAATACATGGGATAACAACATACTATTGCTTCTTGACCAAATTTCGTCGCGTAAGTGGCTTTTTGCTGGCGTCAGGAAGAGCTGCAGGGCTGACTCAAGGCAGCGCAGAGCTGGCAGGCTTGACAACGGACTGTGATGAGGGCGATGGACTGGGGAACATCTTTAGGCATTCATCGAAATCTTCCTGAGTTGTGATACGCCTGCGTTCGTTATTTGGCAATTTGATATATATGTTACCATTAAGGGTCCAGGTGTTAGTTATGCCAAATCTTTTTCTTGCTTTTGTGAAGAGAGATTGACGAACCTTAGTCAAGAATTCACTCAGCACAACTGGAGACGACTTCAATTTCTTTTTATTACTCCAAATGAAACTTTTAACTTTTAAGTCATTAAATCGGACAACAATGGGTCGAGGGGCCCTCTCAGACTTACTTCCTATACGATGGCAGTACTGGATCACACCTGGCTGAAGATCAGGGATGCCCATCAACACTTGAATTGTTCCAAGGACCGTTGAGATCAAGTTCTCACCTTCAGCCTCCTGAATACCACCGAACAGCAGGGCATTTCTTCTAGAAGTGTTGTCGATGTCATCAATTTGTGAAGATAAGTTAGTGACAAGTGTCCTTAGGAGGTCCAGGATGTTCCACACTGAGGCCTTAAACTCTTTAAACTCACTTGCAAGTTTATCAAGACTGTTCCTATTACCTTCAGTGCTACTTGTGAATTTCAGTTGTTTTTCGAATTCTGCCATCCTATTACCAAGCGATTCTGCTATGTTTTTATGAACTTCCAGTATATCTTCCACTCTTGCCATTGTATTTAAGTATAAATAAAGTTTTATTTGTGATGTGTCAAAAATTCCTTGGGAGAGTTTGTAGAACCAACAGGTAAGTGTAATTATTATGCAATTAAAGACATAAGAACCACAATAACTTATGTAAAGTAGCCTATATATGTCACTTATGTAAAATATTACTTTTTTAAACTGTTAAAATAGATTTTAAACAAAAAAATAAAGAAAATTTTGGAGAGTGATTTTTAATCGTGTGCACTTTTTGACACCTACCGCCAAAAAAAATTATATTAATATTAATATAGTAAAAATTCCTAATGCAACTTAAAGTTTGGATTGTGTTACAACTTTGCGAAACCAATTTAAAATTCCTATCAGATTTTAAAAGCTTTTAAGCCCCGTCTAACTCGCGTGGTAATGATCTAGATTTTTATAATTCTATATTCCTTATTCCACAAATATTCCGTTGCAGATATTTCAAATGTTTTGAATATTGGTTTTATATATTAAATTTGTATTTATAAATAATAACACAGTAATTAAACTTTCAATAACAATGTCAAAATAATTTACACGTTAGTTTTGCTTTTTATTTTATTTCACTAAGATAACATAAAACAGACATTATGTATCGAAATTATTTTCATATGAAAATACTTGAATTATTAATTTTCTTGCTGTTATATATGTGTATTATCTATAATGGAGTAAAATATTTTTAAATCTTAAACAAGGTATTTAAACTTTATCAATTTGTCCACCACCTAAATATGAAAAATATCGAAGAAACTTCTCTTCAAAATTTATATATTTAATAACAAAATTGTTCAACAACTCTACAACTCATTTAATGATATATAATTTACAAGGCGCTCTTAACAAAATTGAGAAAATAATAAAAGGGCAAAATATTTATAAAAATTCCCCTCACGATGTGAACTGCGGCCTGATCTCGAACAGATGAGGGATCTCCTTGTAGTCTGTATGTACCTCACGTACAACTCCCACCAACGAAGCCTCTTGAGTGTAAAATACCTGCTGTTAAAATTTACAGGGATTTTGGACAGTATATTAGAAAGTAAAGGCAGATTTTACGAAGGATTACTATAAAATCACTGGGATTAAAATGAAACCAATATTCTTCGAATATACTATGTGATTTTATTTTTGATAAAAACTACATACTCCCGAGGATTCGGCTACTCGTCTCGTCTGTCCGTGATCAAGGTTGCTGAAAAGTACTCGCAACTTCAGGATTGTGTAGTTTTTATCAAAAATAAAGTATATCCGAAAAATATTAGTTTCATTTAAATGAATAAAAGTCGCAAAAATCTTAGACATGAATGCTACCATAAAAACAATTGTATCATTTGGTAAATATATTGCCCATTACAAACAAATGCTCTCATTAGATATATGATTTTCATATCTCTTATTACTTTCGATATTACATCAATTTCTTATAGAAGATTTGACGTCCATTCAACATTAGATTACTGACGTTATTGGGTTATAATAAATCTTTTCTCTACGAGGCGAGATTATTCTTCTATTGCTAATAAGATCATGTATTGCGTAAAATCAACAATTCGATATATTGAAGAAAAGAATTCGTGAAAATCTCTTTTAACTGGTTATAAAAATAGGTTATATTATTGAATAAAAAAAACATGTATACTTGGTTATTATAAAAATCAGAAAAATATCTTACTATAAACTCTGTCTTAAAGGTATAATTCAGACTCATTTTCTTTCATAAAACATCCACCTTACGGCTATTTGGGAACCCTCTCATATTTCTTTGAGCTGAAGCGAACTCAAAAACAAACAAATTGTTTGCATTTAACAGATATACTTAGGAAATAAATCATTTGAAACTGTTGCATTTATATGGGCATGTAATATTATAATATTATCCAAAATATTGTAGATGTAAAACGGGATGATTTTAAACAGATTTGTATATATAAGTTTGGTCAGTAGGAGCGATAAAAATATATTAATATTGTGCAGAAATATACGCAATAACCAGACGAATGAACGCACTAGTTTAATAGTCACTAAAAGTATAAAATTTTCTGATGAAATAGACTTTTAGTGTAACCATAGATCTGAATTAGCTATATAAGTTAGACAGCTGCTTGTTATATACTACTGTGGATATTGGGTGGTAATGTAAAAAATCTCATTAAATAATTACCTAATGAGATCTAAGACTTTCGCGAGTTTTATTTGTTTAAATACTTATAGTTTTGGATATACTACGCGACATTATTTTTGTTAAATTACTTTTCAAATGGAATCGTCGTATATGACGAACAAATTGTATTGTATTAAAAATATTATTGATATATTATTATTTTTCTTTATTATTACTTAAAAGATACTTTTAAATATGTCGTAACGTCATATAAAACTCTATTTTAATATAATTATATTAATTATTATAGATGTACCACTGATTCACGGTATTGAATGAGATTATTTTTACGATAAAAATTAATTAATTATTCCATGAGAATGTTAAAAAAGGTAGCCAAGACCTCTTGACACAATACGATGATATATACAAAGCAGTTTCATATTGAAACATAATGCTAATTAAATATTTCCATTCGAAATGATGGGTTAAAAAGCATAACTTTCTAATATTGAAATTTTCTCCTGTTTATATCTTATACTAATTATACCTGAATGAACACAATATATCCTAAAATACCAAGACGCTTTGAAATCATGAAAGCTAGTTATGCTACTGCTATTTTTTTTGTAATCGAGACAGAATTCAAACGTCAAAGCCACCACTTTAAGCGGTCCAATTAGTTACAGCGTTTGCCCGTTTGTTATACACAATCTTAGGCAACAGAAACGGGATAGTTGAAGTTCAATCTCATAAAATATTAATTAACAAATAAAATATTGCTCTTTCAGAAAGTCTTGCGAACTACTAGTATTTATCGTTGTCAAGTTTTGTAATTATAAAATCGGAAATAAATTAAATGGGAGTTAGTCCGAGGTGATATATAGCAAAGGACACGGAGCATAAATAGTTTTTGTTCATAAATCTTTATCAATTACAGTATTAACATGTATTATTGAACGGTATACTTTTAGTAAGAAGTGTAACGATACGATTTTAAGCTAAGGCACTAGAAGATAATGTATAAGATAGATTTTAATACTTCATTAGATATTAGAAGATAAATATGTTTCATAGCCAAATAATATTATTAACTTGTAACCAAATGACAAAATTCGTAATTTTTTGCCTTTATTTAAGTATGTATTCTTTTTGTAACTTGTTATATTTTGTGCCGAATCAAAGATAATTGTTGAATTATAAGAGTTATTTCAAAAATGTGAATATAAAAGGAAACTAAACATCATTTAACTACAAAATTCCTGTCTGATTTTTGTGATATATACATAACTAAGTCATTTGAGATATAACACAAAAAAAACGTATAAGTAAATTAGACTAAAATACAGTCGTTACTTGAAATGAGTTGAGTTTATATCAAAAATGATATTCTTAGACACCAATAGACACAAAATAGTGAACGTTTTGTAGTTTTCTCCAATTAGCATAATCACCGAAGTTAATTAAAAACAATCACCGAAGTTAAATTATTCTTATACAAAAAGGAACACCAAGAAGTAAATGTGGCTTAAAATTATTATTATAATTATTCTTCAGTACTTGTGAAAGAAGAGGAAAGAGGAAAAATTTAATAATACGATATTTTATTTTCAATCTCTTTCATTTCTAGTTTGTAATTCCATTACTCTTTAATAATTTCAAACTAATATCAATACTACTACTAATTTCAAAGAAGAAATCTGAACTATATTTTAACTAAGAATTTCAATCACTTAAGTTTTCCATACCGGAACTTAGCGCCATCTCATGATGACTAATCAAAATATTTAAAAAGTTGTGCTTTATAAAGCAAAATCATTCCCCCTTCACAATTTTTTTGCAAAAATCTTCTTCTTCTACCTGGCAATTTCCCAGCTTTAGCCAGGGTCTGTCTTACATGTTTTGAATAGTTTTGTCTATTTGTTTTTACGACCGGCCCGCCTGCCTGACATCAACCCTCTTTGGGAATATTTTTTTTTTGCGATAAATATATATATCTAAGTAGTAACTTTGCAGTTTATTAATTTGTATGTAGGAAGCAGTTTCATATATCTTAAAACTATAAAAGCTGTGTAGTTCAAATGTAGTTCATTTATTTAAGTAGTAATTAGTTTTACTTAACGTTATTCGTCTTAAGGAACAAAATAAAGTTTATATATACGATTGTTAGAGGAAAAAGAATGAGTTAAACTCATTTTACTTAATGGCAGCACTCAACTAAGATATTTACTACTTCTACACTACAAAGACATCATTATGTTACGAAGAAAATGTTCTATATGAACGCTAATTACAGGTTTTATCAGTAAAAGTGAGTTATTTGTTTTATAATTATTAAAACTCATCAAGCATACAAAGAAATTAATAACATTGTGTAAATAAGTATAAAATAATTTTATTGTTACGCAGACCGAAATGAAACAATTCTGTCAAATTGAGAAATGTTAATTATTGTAATGTTATTAAGATGTTTCTAAAGACATTTATAGGAAGCTCTTAATGAACAGTTGTAATAAAATTTCTAAACAAAATATAACTTTGATTGTATGAAGATAACCGAATTATTCTATAAAACGATTTTATAGTAATAATAGTTTGTAAAAAATAGTTATACAGTATGTAAATAATTATGCGTTATTAATAATGGTTTTTTTTAGTTTAGCTGACCGTATCTAAGCCAAAGTGTATCAGAGATTTGAACACATTGAATTGTGTACGGCTACTTCAACCATCGCTATGGAGTCTAGCCGTATTAATAATAACGTTACCTTAGAGAAAGCTAATACAACTTTTACTTAAACTCTTTATAATTTTAGTGGTTGAGAAGAAAAATACAGACAAACGGTTCCAATTCTTTGCTGTGTGGATTGGAAATATGGAAGAGCAACTCTTTATTCCTAGACTAAGAAGATCTACATTGAAAGAATGGGGACCCATACATGTATGGTTTTTCGCTGGTTAAAGCCGATAGGGAAACTTATTAACGCAATTGTGAATCTGCCTTTTTAAATAATGCAAAAGAGACCAATAAAATCGAACAATTATTTATTCAAGTAGGAAGTTGTAACATACTTTTGAATCGTCCTTAAAAGTAACATCTCTATATGGCAAGACGTGAGGAAAATACAAATAACTGGGAAAAAAGTTAATTCTTAACAGACACCGCAAATTTATTTTATAATACTGTCAGAAAGTTCAATGTCTACGGTATATTAAATACATAATTTAATATATATAGAGAGTCTTAAAAATACTTTATAGAATATTTTTTAAACATTTGTTAACATTTAGAAACAGATATTATTCAGAAATTTGAAAGCACGTAAACCCATAAACGACTTGGTCGTTTTTTGATGTCGTAAACATTACAGGCTTATTTTTATTTCTAGTATTTATGGCTTGTTTGTGACTGTTTTTCGAACAGTTTTTATGTTTTGTCTTAATAACACATGTATTTTAAGGAAACTGTAAAAATATGAATTTAACTCAGTTAAATAATTATGAAGAACCTATGAGTAAATTTATCTATAGCTGTTCACTGGGTATTGAAATAATTTTTGTTTGGGAGATTTATATGAATGACTAAAATTCTCTTTATGTTACAATAAAAATAATATTTGGGTACAAATTGTTAACATATAATTCAAATAAATATCGTTAAACAATGTTATTAAGTCTTTGGGTAGAACTTGAGTCTAAATTATCATTTTTATAGATTTTATAAGTTTGTTATTAATATTTAAAATTAAATAAAAATCTCTTTTTGATAAAGTGTAATCTTTAGATCAAAAATAAGATATGTATTAACTTATATAATATGATTACTTATACACAAAAATGTCTAACAAAACATCTCGACTAGTTTTCAAAACACACTTAAAGAAGTTTGAGTTTGAGTGTTAAAAATTTAATGATTAGTGTTGATATTTGTGGATGATTCAGAAATAAAACTTGTCGGATATAAAAATGCACAAAACGTATTTATTCAATTAATAGAAAATTAGTTAGCGACACCATTTAAAGAAGTGAAAAAAGTAATGTCAACATAAAAGCAAAAAGGATATATAACATAAAGAAAATAATTAAGGTTGCGTTCACATTATCTAACACTCCCTCCAGAACGCAAACCCATTTCTTTTAAACAATATAAATGTTTCTCAAAAGTTACACCTTTAGTTAAACTGTCGGCAACCATATTACAACTATTTATAAACTTAAATTTAACCTTACGTTTAACAATATTATATCTAAGAAAATGTAATCTAATATCTATGTGTTTAGTATTAGGTTTATAACAGTCTGTTGATGCTAATTGTATTGCACCTTGGTTATCACTATATATATGAGCAACTCATTGTCTGAACCTTGCTTGAGTTCAGCTTGTAGCTGTCGAAGCCACAGAGCTTCCTGGGTCGCCGACGCCATCGCCATATATTCGGCCTCTGCTGTAGATAGGGCTACAGTCTGTTGTTTACAGGTATTCCAAGGAATGCATCCATTTTGAAAAATAAAAACATAACCTGTGCATGATTTTCTATCTACCGTGTCACTGGCCCAGTCTGAATCACAATATCCAGTTATCTCTTTGGAGTCTTCCTTCATATAATACAGCTTCAGGTGTTTGGTTCCCTGAAGATATCTGAGGACTCGCTTTACTCCAAGCCAATGTTGCACTGGTTTGCAATCAGTTATATTAAACCGATTCAACACTAGGTTAATATATTTCTCTTGGTCTATCATTATCTCATCTGTGTCTCTATTTCTATTTACATTAAAGCTATTTCTATTTACATTAAAGCTAAACTGCTTCAATTCACCCAGATCTTTCATGCATAGTTCTTCTTTTAACTTATCCTTAATTTCTGTTGCTGTGTTTTTATCATTTGAAAATATCAAAGAATCATCAACCCAGACTGCAATGAATATAATTTTTAAGGTATTTACAGAATAATAGACACATGGATCCATTTTTGATCTTTCCAAACCTATTCTAAATAGAACATTATTTAACTTTATGTTCCATTGTCGGCTTGCTTGCTTAAGCCCATAGATTGATTTTTGCAGAAGACATACCTTAGCACTTTCTTGAAAACATTCTGGTTGTGCCATGTAGATTTCAGTGTCTATGTCACCTTGAAGAAATGCACTTATAGCATTCATCTGAATCATTTCTAGATCATATTTACAACTATATTTATATCTTACAACTGGTGCATACACCTCATCAAAGTTAATTCCCTTCTTTTGAGCATATCCCTTTATGACTAATCTAGCCTTATAACGAATAATTTCACCTTTTTCATTTGTTTTACTCTTATACACCCATTTACATGGCAAGGCTTTACGTCCGGCTGGTAAATCAACCAATGACCAAGTTTTGTTCTTTATTAGAGAATCATGTTCTTCTTGCATCGCATTTTTCCACTGATCAGCACTTGAAGATGAAAGACCTTCATCAACAGTTTGAGGATCATTTAAATCAAGAATAGGGCAAAAGAAACTTACATCATGGTCATCTTTCTCTGCATACTGGACAGCTCTACGTGGGCGCAAATTAATATTACATACTGGTGTCTCCACTGAACGCTCGGGTATGTAGGCTGGATCATCATTGTCATCGGAAAGGTATTCATCACTTGAAGAGTTTTCTAAGGTATTTACAGATTCTTCTTTGCACGGCTCTTCAGGTGACAGCTCTTCAGGAACGCTGTTTGATACAGAAGGTATGTACACATTAGTGTTGAATTTTTGAACATTTTCTAAAAATACCACTTGTCTACTCTTGATAATTTTATTTGTTGTTGAATCAAATAGCCGGTATCCTTTGCTGGATTCACAGTATCCCACAAAAATAAGTTTTCGAGATTTAGAATCCCATTTTTGGCGTTTCTCTTTAGGTATTTGAGTCATTACTTCTGAGCCAAAAATTCTCATATCTTTCAAATTAGGTTTCTTACCGGACCACATCTCTATAGGAGTTTTTCCATCAATTGACTTGGTGGGTGACCTATTAATGATATAAGCTGCTGTTGCTAAAGCCTCTCCCCACAATTTCTTTGACAATTGGGCATCAAACAACATACATTTTGCTCTTTCCACTAATGTCCTATTCATCCTCTCTGCAAGGCCATTTTGTTGAGGTGAATACGGAGTACTCGTTTGATGTTCAATTCCATATCTACTCAAGACAATATCAAATTCTTTGTTACAATATTCTTTACCATTGTCTGACCGAACAATCTTTATCTTCCTATCAAGCTCATTCTCTGCTTTATTTTTGAAATCTTTGAACGCTTCGAGTACACTCATTTTGTCTTTCAAAAAATATACATGTACCTTTCTTGTAAAGTCATCAATAAAGGTAATAAAATATTTCATACCTCCCAGTGATGCTTGTTCCATCGGTCCACATAAGTCTGTGTGGATGAGTTGCAATGGGTGTGAAGCTCTGGATCTAATGTTATTAAAAGGCAGTCTGCTTTGTTTACCTTCAAGGCAGGTAGTGCATGTGATGTTACTGATGCTTTCGTTTGGAAACACATTGACTCCCTCTGCACACTCCGGCAACTTCTTCACATCTGTAAAGTTCAGATGCCCCATGCGCCTATGCCATAGAACAATATCATTTAAGTTATTAGTACATGTCAGGTTTGAAACAACTTCTCGGTGAGTATTTATTTGATACAGATTGTTTACTAGACTGGCTGAACACAGGAACTTTCCATTATTATCATAAATATTACAACTCTTGTCTGTGAAATTTACTTTACAGCCACTTTTCACCATAGCACTTACTGAGAAGAGATTGGCAGCAAGTTTAGGAATGTATAATACTTGTCTTACCTGAATCTTTTCTTGTTTATTACCATTTAAGAATAAATTAACATTTCCCATACTTTCAACTGGCAGTGGTGTCTTACTAGCAACAGTTATGGAGGGTATTGGTGGACTTGTTACATCATACATCCAGTCCTTTCTGTTCGTCATATGCATAGAAGCACCCGAGTCCACATACCACAGGTCCGGAGTCATAGAAGAAGATGCTGAAAATGCTGCAACAAAACTCCTTTTTTCATCTGACTTTTCTTTATTTTTCTTCTTCTGAGCACGACAATTCTTGGCTAAATGTCCATGCTTGTTACAATTGAAACAACGGGGCCCTTTGTACTGAACTTTTGTATTGCTGTGATGTCCTTGGATTGCTATTTTCCTAGTGAAGAATGCTGTACTCTCTGAGCATTGAACTTCCTGCAGGAGTTTAGTTTTGATAGAATCAGCGCTGATTTTTAGTCCGGAGCTCTCCAAGCCCATAATCATAGGTTTATACGTTAACGGTAAACCTGCTAACATCAGCGTTCCAAGCCATTCATCATCAATATGAAATTTAATATTTCTGAGTTTGTGTGCGTTTGACATTATTTTGTTAACGTAATCATCTACGCTTCGGCAACTTTCCAAAGTAGTTGTGATCAGATCTCGCAGTAAAGCTACTCTTCTATACAATCCGCTGTCATCAAAAGCCTGTTGTAGGTTGTTCCAAGCTTCTTTACAAGTTTCAGCGCTCTGCACGTGTACATAATTGATCGGATCTAGAAAAAATGAAAAAAATGTAAAATGAGCTTCGATTTCGCATTCACTTCCTTTCTTTTGTCTGTATTGGTGCCATCAACACAACTCCACAAATCTTCTAGTTTGAAATAAGCTTCCACGGCGAATTTCCAACTAGCGTAATTCTCTCTTCCGATAAGTCTATCAATGTTGAAAGAGTTGTGGCCTGTACTGGACATCTTTTTCGCGTAGAAATAATGATGTTTCGGCAGTATTTAACTAATTTATTTCTGAACACACGCCGCTCCAGTTCAATTTCGATTTCGATTACGTGTAATCTCAAAATGGCGGACTGAACAAATACGCCGGCCGGCTTTTATACTGTTTTCCTTTTTCTCGTTTTATTTTTATCAACCACGCTCTGCTACCATGTTGATATTTGTGGATGATTCAGAAATAAAACTTGTCGGATATAAAAATGCACAAAACGTATTTATTCAATTAATAGAAAATTAGTTAGCGACACCATTTAAAGAAGTGAAAAAAGTAATGTCAACATAACAGCAAAAAGGATATATAACATAAAGAAAATAATTAAGGTTGCGTTCACATTATCTAACAATTAGAAACATTATATGAATTTTAGTAAAAATACTTAAGAAAATAAATAATATATAGTGCAACTACTACGTCTATGGAATCTGTAGTAATATTTCATTTATATCACATGAAACCAGAAATAGTAGTTTAATTTGTCGCGCAACAAATCTTCTCTCATATTATACGAGTATAACATTTTGTGAAAGATATTCCGCTTAACGTCCTGTTAAGTTGAAAATGTGTAAATTTAATGTTAAAAACATTGGATTCGCGTTTCGTCCTCTTCATAACTTATTTCTTTTTCAAGAAAATTCAACATTTATTTGTAATTTATAATTTAAGTAATATACAATTTCAATTGTTTTAAAATTTTCCAATGTAATGTGAATATTTGTATGTGCATTATTAAAAGTAACGCCTGCAGTAACTGACATATATCATTCATAATTTAAGTTTTGATTAATGTTCAGATTGATTTAGAATAAAGCCACGTATAGTGATATAAAAATGGATATAAGATTATTTTAAGAGTAATTTAAACTCCATGAAATCTTCTAGTTTCGCTTAATGCATCGAAATAACTTATCAATCTATAAATAAAATCATTATATAGAAGTTAAGTATACAATATACATATAATATCAAACTTGTTATAATATGAACAAATATTCAGTGGCATTGTTATTCAGATAAATATGTAAGGTGCGTTTCACAGTCGCCAGAGGTTCCAGAAAAAATGTATACTAAAATACAAAATACATATTAAAACTTAGCACCTATACCCAAGAGTACATGATTCTCCCAATGTTACGATAGCAATGCCTTTCCATAGCTTGTGTGGTATCATAAATCTTCTGGTTCACACGGCTTGGTGTTCGTTCCGCGGAGTCAGCAGCGTCACTCGTTATAATATGATATTTTATCTAAAAACAAACAAACATGAAATTTCTGTTTAGTATACAGCAAAAATGTTTGTTTAATAAAAACACTGACCTATAGCAAACCATTTAAGCTCGAGCAACTTATTTTTTTGTGTTTGTAGTGAAACGAATATTGTTCTCAATTGAACTGCGGTGAAAAGGGATATTAGAACTTTTTATGCACGCTTCAAACTTTTGTGAACACATGTTCCAATTAGTGCAGATCGATAAAATAGAAAAGTATTCGCGAAAAACGCAAAACTCGAGAAGAAATCACCTCGTTAACACAACCGGAACAGGTGCCTAAGTACCGATTTTCACGTTTCTCTTAACTTTCAAAACTACCTTAGAACTTAATATTTTTGAGGCATATATATATAGAAGAATAATATATATGTAGAAGACAAATTTGAATGACGGACTAGATTTGGTCTGTAGTTTTCTTTCTAAATATGTATATTTTTTAATTTAACTTTTATCAGAACGAGTATGTACACGAGTATTTTCAGAGTAATTGTGATACAATTACTTATATTATTACTTTAAAATAAATTTAATATTTTAAAAGGTATATCTTATTCCATTATCTCTATATTTGCTGGGGCACTTGGATCCTTTTATATTATGATTTATCAGAAGATATACTTATTAGTTTACCTCCAGTTCTTCTTTTTAAATGTTAGAAAATATTTTTTTTATCCTCATACGTTTATAATTTTTTACAACAAACCTCACATATCGATAAATGTAACTAAAGCAAATATTACGTATTTTATAACGTGTATTCATAATAAATTCTTAACAGTTTTTTCATAGTACATCTCTTTTTCATCTTTAAATATTGTTACAACATGCTTCTACCCGTAAAATCTTTTGACTTGTATTTTTGAGACCTATCAATCTCATTTATTATGAGTCATAAAGTCTATATTGCTCCTTAATAAAATAAAGTAAGTAGACTACTTATAGGTATATATGACATAGAAAATATTAGCAAATAATTTAACTATCCACGGGCATATTGAAAATTATTTTCCAGGCAATATTCAGGATATTTAAATTGACAATATATTTTTAAATCAAAAATTCTGTATAAAAATCGCAGTTCTTGTGACATAAAATAAATCAAAAACTAGAAGTTATTATCAAATAAAGGTTTCAAATCGCTCTCACAACTATTAAACATACTTCACTTGTTTGTTTTATTTGCACTTATTGCTTAAAAATTTAGTTTACCAAAAATGTAAATGATTTGACATTTAATATTTGTTGAAATTTCAAAGAATGTAACACGCATTTTAATAAATATAATTTCATGCTTTCTGCCCCTACTATTTAATATACGTAATTGCAAAAAATATAATATTTTAATTTCCTCCAAGTTGACCTTCAGCAGCATCAGTCGACCAAAATTTTAATATTTGCAAACCATATAGAATCTCTCAAGTATATTTATATGCAAATTGAAATACAGCAAAAGCTTTAGATCTCAGGATTTCTGGAACTTGAATATATTTGACTATAAATAAAATGGTTACGTATTCTTTATATAGAATAAAAATATACATACAGACAAAATAAATCGATATTATAGAAATAATTCTAGTTAAATTAAAATCATTGAAATATGATTTATATGTAGATGGAAATTTTATTAGTTTAATACAAAAAAAATCTCGATAAAGCCATTGAGCTAATCTTAGAAGAACTAGTAATACGATTGTGTCATATAACTACCACATAAAATTAGATACATTGTGTGAATTATAAGCAGTTGTGACAGTAATTACCAAATTTAAGAAAAAATATGAATCCTGTAAATTAGTAAATTATTATTCGAGACAAATCCATTTTTCATAATAACTACAACAGTTATCATTGATATAATCTCAGTAAAGACTGTAGATTATATTTATTCAATATATCAGTATTGCCTCTCAATATAAATACTTAACATGTACAAACTTAATAATAATTTGTTGCTCAAATAACGTCCTAATATTCTCAAGACGAAACCTCTTGATCCTTAAAGCCTTACATTTAATGGGCTCAATTTCGTTATAAAATATTACATACATCAACAAGCCTCCAAAGGTTTAGAGTCAAGTGACCTCTTTGCCTCAATCATCCGCAATCCTTTCTACTCCTTTCTGAGTACAAATTTATAAAGCTCTACGCCTAACAATGTGAAGAGCGGATATTAAATGTTAGGCCTATATACAATAACTTTTGGTACAACATTATTACCCTTTTTTTTCTTCCTATTTTTAATTTTTAATTTTTTTGAGTAAATTATTATTTTTTGTTTCATCATATTTATCTCAAATTGTGATTGTGATTAAAAGTAATGTTTATGTTGTAACAGAATTTATAATATATAAGAACATGACATTAGAATCATAAGTTGGTGTTATAAATTGGTTATCAAATACAGATGATTTATGAAAGCTAAAAAAATAAATAGAAAAGGTTTTAAAATTCTATTCAATGATTAAATTGACATCACCATGCCTGAAATAATGGCATGCGATATTTTTTTTACTGTCTCAGTATTATCTTTATTAAAACATAAATTGCAAATATAATATAAGTAGGAAATAAACCTAAAATGATCATTCTGTTTCAATTACACGACTGTCTTTAATTTGTTCTCAAGCGGTTGTAACAAGAAAACTGTTTCAATTTACAAGTTTGGTAACTTTTATTTCTTTATTTCAAAACTCGAGTCGAACAGTGATTAATGAAAATAAAAGTATTTGAGTACTTTAATTTAAAAACAAATCTAATATTTATTAAGTAGATATGGTATGAGTCAAATATAAACTTTTAGATGAATTACATCGAGTCAATTCAAATTAAGGTTTATTAATGTTCTGGGATTTGATTAGCGTTGAAAAATGAGACGTCTCTCGACGATTTGTTTGCAGTGAACCTAAATCCTCCGCAATGGCTTAATAAGCTACCTTGCACGTGTTATACATTTCCAACCTGGCTGTTTTGAAGCTATCAAAATAATGATATTATAATATTTTAGCTCAATTTTGTTTGCTATTTTTATATTTAACGCATTATTTCTCACATATAAGTAAAATTAAATTTGTGTTTTTTATTTGGTGTGAAAATAAATATATATTTTTTGTAACTTATGTTACCTTTATATTATTATTTAACCTTTCTAGAAAATACTAAAGCCGACTTATTGTTATCTTTGATGAATCCAGACGCAATAGTTATTATTATGGAATATGTTACTGGTTTCATAAAAACTCCGAAATGTTTTTTTTACAGTTGCGTGTCCTTTGCGAGAGCATAGTTTAAGATTTAGAAATAATTCTTTTAGCGAAAACATTTTGAAATACTTTCATATATGTATGTAAAAGTTTAATCTTTGTTATCAATATGGTAAAGTATTAAATTTATTTACCACATTTAAACAATGAATAATATCAAAGGCCCTTTAGCATTGATTTGTCTATTAACTAACCAACTACATAGTTTATTTATTACAGATAAAGGCCTATAAAACAAGCAAATGAAAATATTGCAGTAGTAGTGGTAGCCAGTATGAAACATTATTACAGTTATTTGGAAAAAAGTAATACTACGACATATTAAATAAACATTGTTGTTTTCTTTGAAAGATTTAACTAAATATATGTATAACATCAAATACAAAAAACTTAAGATACGATTTTTAACTAAATAATTTTTATATCTTCCAGTCAAAAAGAAGGAAAAAATATATATGCCTACCAGTTAATATTTAGTAGAATATTTCCTCAACTGTGAATATCTTAAAATATAATATTTATCATAGAAATATTTTGAGTCTTGAGTTTTTCTTTATATATTTTATTATACTTTAGTTGTTAGACTTAAGTATATGTAGCTTGTATGGTCTTAAACGAGGCTATAAAAATAGAATTGTTATAGTCTCAAGGACCACGGCAATATTGTTCATTACATTTAGTTGAAAAGTCAACATAGTTTTTGGTATTTGGCGTTTTATCTGTTTATACAAAACTCTTCTTTGTTAATTCTGTTAATTTTAAGGCAAGAGGATGTTTTACAAGCTGCAGCTTTTTACCCGGTAGCTTTGTGGGTAACTCTGAAACAAAGTATTGTCAAAATTGCTAATGATGAGTCTGTCAAGAGAGCCTATAGAATATAAACTTTGTTTTAAAGAAATTATAACAGAAGAATAAAATTGAGGCAGATAATAAAACAAAAGACAGCCAGAAATTTGATTTTTTTTTTCAATAATACTATGTTGTTACTTTTTCTTTCCATTATAATTTATTTTTAGGTTTAAAAGAAAATTCTCTCAATAACAAATACGCTTCAACAAAGATCTATTGAAAATCTAAACTGAGTACTAACCTTGTGACCATTATATTATCGAGTTTACTGGGTCTGAAAAACGTCATAACAATTATGTACACAACAAAATACTACAACTACATACATTATGATCGACGACTTATGGCTTAGTTAAATAACTACGAACTATGTAACTTATTTGTATGATATGGTATTAAATGTTTGAGTTAATAAACAGTGTGCAACAGACATATATATGTATAGCACTTCAAAATAATGATTATTCGTTTTTTAAGGATTTCAAATAAATATATCCAACGAAAAAATGTTTTCCATCGTCCAAGATACGCATCAGAGGAATTAAATAAATTTTAAAATACAGGTAAATGAGTAAATTAACAGATTTTTTATTTCTACTTAAATACGATACAACGAATCTGGGAAAATATTTTTCTATTTATTATTTATTTAAAACTTGTGGATGAATTTTCTGTTATACCACACAGAACATAATAATTTACCAAAATATTTATATCTTAAAGAGAATTTGATTAGAATTATTCATTGCTGATATCGCTTATTACATAAATTTCAATAAAGTTATTGCCTTTTAATAAGGAGACGAGAAATAATTATTAGATACCACAGTTTCATATTACATTCATTAGGTAAGTTGTATTAATTATGGGTTTATTAATTAATCTTTTGGATTGTCTTATTGCGTTTCGAATTACAGTTACTTTATTAATGTTAATTTGATTTTGGTGGAAACAATCTAATATAATAAAGTAACCCACAAAATATTCTTACGTGTATAAATAAGAAGATTATGTTTTGGTATGTATGTATTTGTTATGTTTTTTTAACAATAGAAAGTGTAATTAAAATAGAATTAAGGATAATTTAATCTTTTAGCTACAAATAGTTTATTTAGCAATTTAGTCAGTGGTGGCCTAGTGGTCAAGGTGATTTTTCCGGGTCATATGTACTTTTTAAGAGTATTCATACATCATTGATTAATGCATTCGCTAGGAAATTACCAGGTTGAAGAGAGAAGAAGAAGAGTTTATTTAGCAATTTAGTCCATTTAATATTTCAAAGTCGCTACCGTATCTAGCCTATCGATTTTTGGTTACCTGGAGCGTAGAGGCTTTTAGTGGAAACGTTTGTAGCTTTATATTAAACAAATTCAAAAGGCTTGTCATGCGTCAGATCTCAGTGGAAAAACATTTATTATTCATTTATTGTACAAGGCGAAACCGTCTACTTCGGTTCCAAAATAAAATGTTGGATCTTATATTATTTTTCCCGCTTTATAAATATTCGAATTGACATGAAAGGTTTATCCGGGAAAAGTCACTTTGTATGTAGAATTTTATCATTGTTTTAAACAATAATATGTTTACTAACTTCTGTGTTCAATTGCTTTTAGTTCATGTAAATATAATTTTGTCTAAACTGTGTTAATACTTTGTGTTCTTTTAGTGATATAGTACTATATATGTATATAGATAAAGAAAGCAAAAAGATCTCTGGGACTAGTTGGAGTCAATAGACTGAAGCTTATAAGAGGAATGGCAGTTCCACTCTCATAGAAGATCGTAGTACAGATAAGTTTCTAGAAATTAATGAGAGTAATAATTGGCTTTTATGCTCTTTGCTCTTTCGAAGCCCTTGTGTTATTTCTCATAACCTTTGAAGAACAGCATTTTGTAATAACACCTTTATGTGTCAGCGGTGGCGATGGACATGCAATTAAGAGGAATTTTCTTTTTTTGCTATCATTTAATTTAATCAGTCTTAATTTTAATATAAATTTAATTAGATTATTCGGTAAAAGAGTTCTATTTCTCCAGAACGTAAATGTTAATGATGTATATATTCAAAGTTTCTTTGTTTATTCTGTACTTTTACGCTACATTACATTACAGTTCGCGTTGTTATAACATACTCATTACTCAGTGAAATAAATGTGTCACATCCTTTATACTGACTCATTAAATTTGTCTGCATAATTTAATCTTAACGTATAAAAATTCTTTATGAGATAGTTATTATACTTTTGTTATATACAATAAGACTCATTAAAATAACACTCATAATTGTTAAAAAAAAATTTATAAAAATTGAAGGTGTACTTTTAATAACTTCTTATAAATTTTTCAAGATACTGCACTCTTTACTAAGCAATATATTCATTTTTTTAAGAGCTCCAATTCTTTTACACAGAATATGTATATAGATATTAACTGCTGGTCAATGGTTAAATGTATTGCTTATAAGTATTTTCTTTTCCAAATAAGAATGGTTCATAATCGTCGTTCATTATTTTTGATTTAGATCCATAAATATTTTTTTTTTTACATCTATTTTGACAGTGAAATAAAAATAATACTGCTTTTAAGAAACAAAAGCTAGATTAAGACATTAAGTTTAATTAAGCTTTTATCTAATTTGATATTTTACATTACATTAATTAAGTTGATATTTTACATTTGACCTAGTTTATTAATTAAAACTTATTATATTTCAACTGTACAGGGAATTTTACTTCTTTTTTATACGAAAAGGTAAACAGGAAAAATATTTAAGATTTTCGCATGTACTTATTTAAATGAACCTAAGTTTTTTGGATATTACGCCGTTTCTTTTTACTTTATTTCTACACGTTCCTGACATAAAATAGATGAAACATGTATTATTAAAATAATAAATAACCACGTACTACTCGTAAAACTTGGTTTTATTTAAACAAAAAAAAACACTAAGGAGTGAATATAGAACTTAATATTATGTGTTTAAAGAGCACAATAATGGAAAAGAAACTGCAACATATATTAAAAAACATATTATAGATTACCGTGATACAATTCATTATAGGAAAAATAAATGAGTCACAAACTACATATTGCGCACACTTGCTATTTGAGAACTTTTCCACTAAGCTTTCTTCTAAACTTACCCATTCGTAAAACCACCACACTTAAACTATTTTTCTTAAAGTTATTTATCGAGGGTAAATTTTTAAGTTTAAATTATTTCAATCAAGAGTTATGTTATCTTATAAATTTAATTGTTTAATTCTCTGTTCATTTTAAATAATTATTTTATGAAACAAAAAAATGTAATAAAATGAAAGATTAACAATGTCATTACCTATTGTAGTGTTAAAGTGTGACCATAATGTGCAGACAGATAAAGAGTCACATAAGGACGCAATTTGGTCTGAATGTTCTCGTTGCCGACCATTACATAACTGAACAAAAAGATATGTTCATGGCAAGTTGTGTAAATGCGTTTTTGGTAGCAGCAGTTAGCTTAATTTATGAGGTAAACTACCTTTAGACCGTAGGTAGTATGTGAACACAGATTTTTTACTATTATTACATAGATTATTAGGCATTTGTATAAGAATCATAAAGATAAAAGATCAAACACATTTTTTTCATAGATGAAGTCATGTTTATATAATAATAATAAAGTCTGTACAGTAACTTTTGAACTGCGATTAATTTATATCTCCCGCTGCCATGTCATCATTTTTGTATTTTGTAATTGTATACTAGAAGCAAACTCAAATATATAGAATTATATTATAATGGTTGGGTAATGTATTTATAATGTTATCATAACTTTTCCTTCTTAAAACCATATGTAAGTATTGTAATGAAAACTATGCACAATGCACATACATATATTTACATTAAGAGTTTTAATTTTTTCAGGATTAAACAATATACATTACCAAACGTATAAAGACGACAAATTAGATTTTAAAAATAAATGAAAACCTTTCTCACGACAATTTATTTCAGTTACTATCATAGAACTCAAATAAGTAATAAAAAAGTATATATAATAAGTAATAAAAAAATACTTTTAGCAAATAAAGAACTTTGTTTAACCTTAATAACTTAACAAGAACAGATTGAATCACTTCGATACCTCCCACGTAAGTTGTTGTATCTCCAAAACTGTAATTTTACAGTAGAGCGTTTCAAAGATTCAAATTAAACCAAAATCTGCATTTATTGATGCATCTTTTTAAAATTTCGTATTTAAATTTAACATTATAGTCTTCTTAACTACGTTAAAAGATATTTTAATTAATATGCCTATTTGCGGAGATATTGTTGTTTTATTGTTCAGACCGCAGACGACATTTTGCTCCGGAGTAGAAGCTAAAAAAGGTGTTGTATCTGATACTTACAACATTATACCGCGGCGCCCAGACTGCATCACTTGAGATATATGATAGTTACAACTGTATACGTTGAAAAATATAAGTCTTACTCTGTTGTATGTAACAGTTTTTTCTTAGAACAATCCTTTTTATAACATCAAAACCAAATCACAATCAGAGAGTCAATCATTTTTTTTAAATAATAGCCACTATACAATGGACAGTTAAATGAAACAAAATTCGCCAGTCGCATTAAATTATAGTGATAAAAGACTTTTGGTTACACAATTTATAATACCAACAAACATATTAAGCATTCATTTGGCTCCTGCATTAAAATTTACTGATAAAGGTGAGTTATCTTGTTTAATGGAGATATGCGTGGTCAGCATGTCACCATTAATTGAAGAACGATGATCTAAGCCAAAGGGCGTCAACTATCTGAGTTTTGGGCACCAAGCAATTCCAGAACCATTTCTCAAATCATCGGAATATCGGATGTCAAGGCGTCTTATACGAATTTTAAATAGACATGGTCTCTACTCCAACTCAAACTCAAACGCGGCTCCAAGATATTATGAACATCTGAAAACATGACCAGCCCAATTACAATCATATATATTATATATATTCTATTCGCTAAAAAAACTCCGAACACGTCAAACTTTATACCTGGCTGAGTGACCTTGAATTTTTGGACCAACTTCTGAATTGAATCAGCTTGAACTTTTCTGTGATGTCTAGTAAGGAAATATCTTCATTAAAAATTTAAGAAGAGAATTTTAAGTTTTAAATGTATTTATCCTACGTAAGCGTATCTCGATTATATGTATTTAAATATTTGTTTATCTTTCCATCTACATACCGGAGCCATTTTGCTGTGTGTTT